GTTGTGTGTGTCACATCATCAGCTTTGATGCCATTCCTTCCGTGCCTCTTCATTTTGATTATATTTAGTCCCCTCTTCGTAGTGTCGTGTCAAATTCTCTTGTATTAGTACCTTAGGACAAAATGTATTGAAGCTAAAATAGTAATAATTATAATTCTATATGGCAGTTTAGCATCGTGGAAAGACTAACTGAATGTATTCAGTTTTCACTCTTTATGATGTCTCACGGCTTATGAGAAAACAAAAAGTACGAGCTTTGATCTTTTAATGTTTATATCCCATACAGACAATTATAGGTGTGTTGTACCATCTCTCTCTCTCTCTCTCTCTCTCTCTCTCTCTCACTCTCTCTCTCTCTCTCTATATTATATAATATATCAATAATATACTATATATATATACAATGAGTATATATATATATAGATAGATATAATACAGTATATATGTCTACATAAAATATATATATGTGGAGGGAATTTCCGAAAATGGATCTGCAGACACTGATGCAGGAGAATGGACGTAAATAGAAAAGAAACTGGCCCAAGTTACGAGCGAGAAAACGAAGAACAGAGAGGGGGAAGGAGTCTATAAAAGAAAGCTGCCATCAGACTTAGGAAATGAATCATGTATTCCGTAAAGGCGCAAGACTTAAAGGCGTGGGATAACTATAAGTGGAAGAAAGAAAAATTAACAGCGGGATTGTAAATGGGTGAGGGTAACTTTTTCAGTTACTATCCTGTCGAGTCACAACGTGCCAAGAATAGAAGATAAATTTGAATCACATGGAATAGTTATGTAAGGGCGCGAGCGTGGGTCAGACATTCAGAGATAAGCTGGAAGAAAGTTTATAAGAACACATGCCAAGATATTGTTGCAGCCTCCATAACTATTTCTTGTATAGAATTTCAGAGACATGCTGATGTTCACATAAATATGAACAGAATAAGAGTCGGTTTAATACCTGTACTCTCCGTACCCCACACACACATCACACACAGCCACACAATAAGGTCTAATATAAGTACTTACTATTAGACTCTCTGCACACACATAATACACAATGCTATACCCGTTAATAAGCCTATATGTTTTAAACTAACGCTGGACCCGACTGAGTGCCTTGTCTTTGCCAAACATTAATACCCGACCACCTACGTGTGGTTCCGCCTACTCGTCACATGGTCACCCCTCACCAAGGCACGTCTGTGATACCGAGCTCCTGCTATCTTCAAGCTTATCCCATTTCTACTCGTTGCCGTGTTTCGAAAATCTTCCGGTCATTTTATAGACCCTTGTCTACTAATATTTGGATTATTTTGTATTTTTATGGCTCATATATCCGGGGACTTCAATCCCAACGATAGGGTGAACTATATATTAACTAATACTACTTATTTATATACCCACATTTCATTATCTAATTATTAAATAACTTATTTATTTATTTATTTCTATTATATTAATTAGTTAACTACGTATATAAATATTAATTATATATATATATATTATCATAACTTTATTACTACTTTGTAACAATTAATATGTAAATATCCTTCGTATACTATATGTTATTATATTTATATTAGACTATTATACTTATTATATATTATATACTATATATATTAGACTATATACTACTATATATTAATACTTAAATCTATATTCACATTATTATCTATATATATACCATTATATTATATCACTTATATATATAAAATAATACAAAAATAAATAAAAACTTATAATTATAATATTATTCACTTACTCACTCATATATATATACTATAACCATATATATTGTAAAAACTTTTTTTATACCTTTTATTATATCTCTGCCACTCCCATATCATACATACCATACTGTATTTATTAATATAATATTATATTCAAGCTATATATTATAATCTTATTAGATAAACCACAATAAAATGTAAACTTCACAGTTTTCAACATCTTAACATATCCCCCTGCACTATATATCTAATCCTAACTATAAATACTATAAATATATATATTATCTACTATAAATCATATACCACCTCGACTATCTTATGATATTGTTATGGTATGTTAATATTATAACCCATATAACATACCATATCGCCATATAGTATAATATATTAATATATTTACTATGAAGTGTAATATACCGTATACCAGTTATAATTCCATAACCATATATATATACCATATATAAGAGTACTCATATCATAAATTTAAACATCATAAAATATAGACCTATATCTCCGTATAATATACTATATAGGCACATTATACAAATTATTATAATCCTATTTCATAGTCTTAATAATCTTATAATATTTATTTATATATATGTATGCTTATGTTTAAATAATAACTATACATATATCTATACTATACATTACATACACACTATATGTATATACTCATTGTATAATTCACCTATCTATCTATAATCATCTCTACCTATCTATCTTATACTTAGCTAATTCTATCTATCTATACTATACGGAAACTATATATTATGTTACTATTGACAACTACATACCATCATATCTTTATACATACATCTCATATTATTATATATATGTTTATATATATATAACTATATACTATATTATAGAACACAACACGCACACACACACACACACACACACACACCCACCACCACACACACACACAATCACACACACAACAACACACATCACACACCACATAATATTATTTAATATATATATATTATATACTTAATATACTTTATCAACATATATATATAATTATATAATATCTATAATTATAATATTCATAAAATCATGTTTGTATGTGTGCTTGTGCATATATACATACATTTAACCACATACAAAACACTTACATTATATAACTATCTACTATTATAATTAATTTTATATATACCGACTTATTATATATATATACCTCATATATACAGAATATGTTACTCTTATATTTGTTATCTATTGTGTGTCTACTACTTACTACAATATAATATAGTATACTATTACTTACTATAGTATATCATACACAATTGTTTATTATATATTGCATACCACCAGCACACACACCACAACACATCACACCTACTACACACACACACACCACACTCACACCACCACACACACACACAACACACATACCACACACTATCACACTACACACTACACCACAACATATATATAAACTATTCATACTACATAATAGTCTACTATATTATATATCATATATCTACGATATTTCATATATAATTATTTTATAGTATATATTACTAACTTTATATGCAGATATGCGTAAAGTATCTAATGAATTTACATTATGCTAATTCTATATATATCTTCATATATAAACTATTATATATTATACTATTATACTTATATATAATTGATTATAGCTATATAAAGTTTCGTATTAGTTGTATCGGCTCAAAATGAACGTTATGAATATCACATCAGAGCCTGAATTATCACTATTTTCTCTCATTTTACCATTTCCTTGGCGACTACTTTCCAAAGTATTTCAGAAAATTAACGGACTACAACAAACTGAGGGCCGGCTATATATCAAAAAAAGAATCCCAAATGTACTGGCATCATTCAAATATGGAAGGATCGGTTCAAAACAAATTCATACACATGTCTTCTCTTAAACATTTCCCCCCCTTAAGCTGCATGTTTTGATTTCCCTCTATGTATCAATTTCGCATCACGGCTTCCAACTGGCTATCGGAAATACAAGAAACAACCCTTTCTTTATTTTAGTGCATTTCAATCGAGATTTCTTATACTTCACTCTAATATATGTTTATTTTTTGCACATAGTATCACAGAAACGCTTCCATTCGACCTTTTCGTCCTATTAATATACTAACATAAAATCTGGCTACAGGCGCTCTACAATGTTTACATGTAGAAACCTGCGCGCGCATGATGTGAGGGAAAACATTAGCCGTGATCTGTTGTGAAAGCGATCATACTAACTTTACGGAACTTTTGCGATTTGCGTTACACTTTTGAAAAAATGCCACATATGTGATGTGCTGTTGGTTGTACTAACCGCAAGGCAGGAAAAATTCTTCGTAGCCTTCTATGGGTATGCCAAAAGGGAAAACTCTGATCGAAAAGCGGAAAAGGGAAGCTTGGATGCACGCAATCGAAGAGAGAGAACTGGCTCTTCATTGTCCATACGGATAGCAGTGGGGTCAAAGAGACGTGATGGTCTCTGGTATGCAGTTGCTGTCATCTTCATCACCGCTGCTAGTACCGCTTCGTATCCATTTCTGGTCCTGCTACATTATTATAGTTCATAACATCACCATTTCCCATATGTACATCATAATTTGTCGCATATAAGCTGTAAATGCTGCTGCCTGTGGATAAATTTCATATACCGTATTGCAACATTTTTTTTTGTCTGGAGAAATATATTCCACTGATTGGAGCTGGATTGCCATTTTACCTGGGTGCCTCCCAGAAACAAAGTTGGCTGGTACATGAGGCTGGCTTGTTTAATTTAAAGTGTTCTGCTGCCTCTGACATGGAGAAATGTCCTGTCACGTGACTGCAGCATGAACATAAGGCTGTTCTGCACGTCTCCACTAGGAACCTAACCATCAGCCTTGTTAAGGCATACCCAAGTCTAGGTAGCACTTTTAGAATTAAAAGAAATTCAAAATTTCGTTCCTTTGAATTAATGTCAACTGAAGAAAACTTTATTATCAGTGATCAGAATCTCATTAGTCATATTTTAAATATTTACCCAAGAATCAAAATTTATGATTTAATTTAAGAAGGCCAATATCCATTTCATATGTTGAGCATATGTTTAATCCTAACCCTCACCCTAAAATTTACTTCTGGTATGCTAAAAGAAGAAAAGGAAGAAGAAAGAAAAAATAATGGGTGCCTTTGGTAGTTGGATGACAATCACCATTCAGAAAATGACCAGCAACAAAGTAATCATAAGTTTCTAAGGACTTGTACGCTTTCAAGAATTCCTTTGTGAAAACGCTTGGCGTGTCTACAGTATATTCGGCGACATTTCTCCATGTTGACCCCGGTAGTTTTGAAATATCGCTTACCGACTTCCATCTCGCAAGGAAGGAAAGAAACTTCTCTTCATTACTAAGAGTCATTATCGAGATATTATGTTATTTATCAGCATCTTCGAGATTTTAATGTTTTCTTGTTAGGGTGCTTCCACACTAGTGACAGGGCCGGTGTTAGGAAATGCGGGCCCAATTAGAAAACTGATGAGGGGGCTCCTATTCTACATAGTACAATTTATGGATTATATTTCATTAAAAAACACACAGACACAAAAAAGGAAAAAAAAAAACGAATAAACATTAAATGCTGGGTATAATAAATACATAAATTAATATTATGAGGAAGAATATCTTGTTCTTCATTTCACGTTTTCAGTAGTATTTAGTACCTCATATGAAAAATATATACATATATATACATCGTAGAGGACACGTTGGTACGGATTTGTTGCGCGATATGTTAGCAGTCCTGGTGGACGAGGTGATGTCGCCAGAGACCCCCCGCCAACCAACAGACCAACGTGGTGTGGATAGTTTCACCAAGTCGACTCTTCTTGCCGACATGTTTCTCAACATTGTAACAGATATGTCCCCATATACACCAGATTTGTATCCGAATGCTCCCCACAATGTGTTAGCATGTCACTGGTGTGGACGCACTTTAAATCACAGTCTCGAACGGTCTGTTGCCTGGCAGTGTGTGCGCGCGCCTTGCTTTCATGAGAACTCCTACGAGGGAAGGGATCTATCTATGCGTTCAGTTTCCCGCTCCATAGACTATAGCATCAGCTGAGCGGAGCCTCGGCCTAAGGTCTATATATTAGTATATAGACCTTGCCTCGGCCTACGGAGAAGTCGCCCTCCCGTGCTCTTGTTGATCCTATCTTGGCGCCGCGGGGGATTGATTAAGGCCTCAGCTGTTATTGCTTACTTAGAATTCAAACTTATCTGTTGACGTGGCAGATGACGACGTTACAAATAATCAGTAACAAGTAACAACTGGAGTCTTAATCACCCGGAGCGCCAAAATAGGATCGAACTTACGATCATAAGTTCAATCAGTGCTTGGGCATTGGGTCACTGAACCCTCAAGAAGACACAGATGAAAGACGCTGATTATAACCTGTGTCCTGTACAAATATGCGGGCTAAAAAAATATATGTCCACGAGTGTGTTTTCGTGTCGGGTGGGAAGCTCTGGCAGCGTGAAAGAACAAACTGGATTATGTTTATGTTTAAAACCCACAACCACAGGAGAATTTTTACTTGTAAAGATTAACGGATATGTTGTAACATGAACGTTGCCTTCAGACTATACATGCTGTCAAACCTTGCCTGCAGACATTGTGATTTACAAGACACTATGTAAAAGAAATGAAAAACTATATGTATTGTATTGTTTAAATATACAGCTTCCAATATTATTTATCATACTTATTAGTTGGTTTGTCAGTAATAACGAATCACTTCTTTGTTGCTAAGAATAATCGTGTATCTTCAACATTCATCATCGTGGCTACGCTCACCCTCCAGCATTATTTTTTAAAATAATTTCTTAGCAATAATAGATAAGAGGCAATAAAATTATAAAATGGTATTAAAGTGCATATTCTTTATTTTTACGTGGTGGATGCAAAGAAAGGGAAAAGAAAATCCGCGAGTTTTTTTTTCTACTCGAACGCTCTTTTTTAATAAAATTTCTTAAAATAGAACATATTCTCAGAATGTCTAATTAGCTCTGATATATCATGGAATGTTTAAGGAAGATAACGATTTGGTTTTAATCACCGAGAAAAGAAAATACAGACGCGACATCTCTTTATCCGAAGCTTTTGAGACGAGACACATTTCGGGATTCGGATTTTTTTCGAATTTCAGAAGGATAGAACAGGCAGTCCGTAACCACACACATCTGTGGAGTGACGCATGGAGTGAGTGACGACTAAAGGGTATTGCAGTTTATTTGTATTGTAATGAATTATATAACTGAAGCAGACTATTGTTAGATGCAGAACCCGATGATCTTGAAAGAACGGCATCCGAGACATCCTCGTTGTCATGGTAACCACCGATAAACAATAAAAGCCCTTCGGTATTCAGAGAAGGGATTGGGTACCTCTACTTCTTTGTCATTAAGGACATACGCATTTTTTTCTTATTTCTTCATATATAGTTTTTTTCCCTTCTCATATGAATATAAACTGAAAGAGAGAATGTCATATTCAGTTTCTTCTCTTTTTTTCCAACAGCAACTTCCTTCGAAGACGTGACGATGGCCTGCGATCCGCCAGAGGAACTTCACGTGGTGCGGCCTGCCCTCACGGTGACCAAGAGGGACCACACCTACGATTACAACCCCGGGGAGAAGCGAAGTAGGTCGGGCTGATAGTGATCTGTGTTCTGGATTTACATTTATAAGCCGGCCACCTGTCTCAGAAATGGGTTAATTGTTATAGGTTTGGGTTCTATTTCAGTATCAAAGGTTGTGTTTAGGTTTGGATAATTCTATGTTGGGGTCTCAATATTCTATAAATGCAGTTTTCTAATTAAAACGATTGGACAAGCACGGATTGGAAACACTTAGAGATCTTATAACCAAAATAAAGAAAATGATAAACGCAGTTATCATTGTCGAGATAAACAAGTGTGCAAGTTAAAGGGATTTTCCTATAAAATAATTTGGGAATTACATTCTTTTCTCTTCTGTCAAATACTCTCAATATGTCAAATCAAACATTTAAAAACTCAATCTTGTAACAGAAAAATGCTTCGAAACCTGTTCTTTCTCAACAAAAGGGAAAATCGTATTCGATAGCTGCGTGCAATCCCACAAAGGGGTTCGGAAGCGACGTTGCTACTTGGTGACGTTGCAATTTTGCCCCGTTATGAGAAATACTTTTACGGTTATCTTACCCATATCTTTGTACAGGTTTGTGCGAAACGTTATCAGATCGTGTGCGAGAGTGCGACCGCGGCCGCGCGTGGGGCGCCGTGACAACCAAGCTGCCCATCCTTTCCTGGCTCCCGCGCTATAATTTCCGCACAAGCTTCGTTGGAGATGTTGTTTCAGGCACGACCGTAGCCATCATGCACATCCCGCAAGGTGAGATTCTCGTGCAGTCTCAAATATTAATAAATATTATTAATATTAAGTGATAATCTAAGATAGAGGAGGAAGATAACCTGTAGGATTTATATTTATCATTTAGGAATGGCATACGCGCTCCTGGGAGGTCTCCCACCTGTCGTAGGCCTGTACATGGCCTTCTTCCCTGTTCTGATGTACGTGGTATTAGGAACGTCTCCTCATATCTCCATGGGTAAGCTCGGGCAACTGTCTTGACTCTTAATGGTGTGTTTTGCGAAATTATGTCTTTCGTTGATGAATTAGATAAACGAACTTTGTATCAGAAATAATATTCCTTACTGATGCATCTTAGGATCGTCCGCCATTGTGAGCATGGTGATGGTGCAGGCGGTGGGGGACCTCTCCTCAAGCGCCGAAGAAGCTCCACAGGGCCCTCGTGACGTAAGCCCCCTTCAGGACAGCGTCAATGGAACAGCTGTGACCTACACTCCGATACAGGTCGCCTCTGCACTGTCTCTGGTTGTCGGGGTTTGGCAGGTGGGTGTCCTGGATGAAGGCTTTCGGGAGGAGGGGGGGGGCGGGTCGAATAACTAAAAGCCTTTGGAACTACAAGTGGAATACATGCTATTTCTTTTTTCGTTCATAGACAAAGGTAGTTGACCGGAAACACAATAACGTGCGTGTGTTGATATTAAACCACATTTTTTATTGAATTTAAAAAAATCTTCTCAAATCTTAAACGGCAATAAACTCACACAAACCCGACTCGAGACTCAGTTTCTTCCATCACCGACAGATAGCGTTCGGTCTGCTGCAACTGGGTGAGGTCCTCGGAAGGTTCCTGTCAGACATGCTCATCTCAGGCTTCACGACGGGGCTGGCCTTCCAGGTCCTCACGTCACAGGTCAAGTCCCTCCTCGGTATCTCTGTACCTCGACATAACGGGCCATTCAGTATAATCTATGTAAGTTCAACACATCCCTAAAATGAAGAATAAAAGAAGTTTTGAGTCATTGCTGTTGATGAGTTAATTCTAATTTGGTACTGAAATTAAGAGAAAGAGACGTGAGAAATTGCTGTGGGTGCAAGTGCAAAGAAATGCGGTATTGATAGTTAAATACACTCTTGTATTGCTTCCAGACGTACGTGGATGTCATCGATCAGCTGCTGTCAGCGAACGTCACTGTCATGATAGTGTCAGCCATTACAATGATCGTTCTCATAATTAATAATGAACTCATCAAGGTAAGCGTCGCAAGGTCATATCATCATATGTCATATTATCATTATTGTTGTTATTCTTATTGTTATTATTATTATTATTAATATTGTCATTACCATTGCTATAATCACTATTATTATCATTTTTATTATTCTTATTCTTATTTTATCATATCGTTATTTTCTCATCATGATCGTTATTACTATTGCTGTTATTATCATTATTGTTATCATTACTATCATCATTGGTGTTATTGTAATTCTTATAATCATTATCATTATCATCATCATTATTATTTTTTATTATCATTTTCATGATCATCGTCGTCGTCGTCCTCCTCATTATCATTAATGCTATTACCGTTATTATGATCAATGTCATTATCATTATTGCGACACCTGCTACTTCTATTACCTACTATAACTACCGCTATTTCTTTATTGCTACCATCATCTTATTAATAAACACCCATACACATTCCAACGTATAAGACATAAAACATACTTACCTACCTACTTACTCACTCACGCCCCCCCCCCTTTCCGTTCCCCTTTAGCCCCGGGTGAAGAAAGTGACGAACCTGCCCGTCCCGATTGAGCTCCTGGCAGTGGTGGCGGGAACGGTGGCGTCCTACTCCCTCGATCTCCACCAAAACTACGATGTCCGCGTCGTTGGAGATATTCCTACGGGGTGAGGGCGCCGCTTCCGTTGCGCTGTGACTTTGTTGTCGTTTTGGTGATGTTTTTGTTGGTGTTGATGTTGACATTATTGTTTTTTTAATTATTTTTATTGATATTATTATCGTTATTGCTTTTGAATGATTTTTATTGATATTATTATCGTTATTGTTTTTTTTATTATTTTTATTGGTTATTATTATGTTATTGCTTATTATTATTATTATTATTATTGTTATTGCTGTTATTATTATTACTATTGCTATATTTATCATTGCTTTTACGATTATTATCATTATTACGATTATCAACATTACTGCTGCTGCTGCTGCTGCTACTACTATTATTGGTTTTGCCTGATTAGTCTCGAAACGCGATAAAAGCAATCGTTGCTTCCACCTCACGCACACCTCCCTCCCGCCACAGCCTCCCCTCGCCTTCGGTGCCGCCGCTGGAGCTGCTTCCTCGCCTCGTGGTGACCGGGTTCGTCGTCGGCCTCGTGGGCTACGCCACTTCCTTCTCCATGGCCAAGCTCTTCGCCAAGAAACAGGGCTACGCTGTCGACGCCACGCAGGAACTCTACGCCCAGGTACAGTGCTCAGAGATTATTGTTTTTCTTCCTCCGCCAAGGAGATTATGCTTTTGGTAGCGTTTGTTAGTTAGTTTGTTGGTCAGGAGGATAACTTAAAATGCTATGAACAGATTTCTACCAGAGGTGTGTCTCATCCTAATTTAGATGCCATTAAATTTTGGTGGTGATCCGGATCATGATCCGGGTCCAGAGTTTTTTTTAAGGATTGCATGTTACCCTTAATGCCAAGGCAATAGGGGTAACTATTATCATTATTAGCATCGTGCGATAGGGACAACTTTTTGGCACGAATTCTTATCCTTATCGTACTGCCTTGGCGGAGGTAAGCGCTCGTCGAGGGCTTCTTGCTGATTTTTGTTATTATCACGGTTAGGGTTAATTTCAGAGGCGGAGAAGACAGGGGTAGAGACGGTGAAGGGAATATAGACGTAAATGAAACTAATTGATATGTATATGACTGTGAATAAAATCCTTTTCTCTTTACTTTACTCCATTTGAAATAGCTAACAAAAGTAAGAGATGCGATTGAGAAGTTTCGATTAGTCTTTCTCAAATTTACCGCAAATACGTCAATTATATATATTGCTTTGTGAAATATACAATAGGCATTTATACTTCTTTCTACACACGTCCCCTTTCCCACACGACACACAGGGCGCGAGCAACGTCTTCGGCTGCTTCTTCTCCAACGGCCCCGTGGCTGCTTCCATGTCCCGCTCCATCATCCAAGAGGGCGTGGGCGGGGTCACGCTTATCACGCCCCTCATCTCCTGTGGTTTTATTGTCCTCATTCTACTCTTTGTCGGGCCCTTGTTCGAGACTCTGCCGCACGTAAGCGTTTAGATTTTTTTTTCACTTAAGTTGTATTTAATCGTTGTAATATGTTGTTGTTGCGTTCAGTGTTTTTTTGTTTTTCTGTTCAGACTTTTACCACTTGAGTTCCTGTTACATTCCATGCTTTAAGGTCTGCTTTGCTTCGCTCCCTTCACTGCTTCTCTTCCCTCCCCAGTGCGTCTTGGCGTCCATCGTCCTGGTGTCCCTCAAGGGGATGTTCATGCAGTTCCACGAGCTGGCGGCGCTGTGGTCTGTCTCCAAGCTGGACGCCCTCATCTGGGCCTCCAGCTTCCTCGCCTGCGTCGTCGTCAGCATCGACTTCGGGCTGTTTGTGGGCATCGGCGTGTCGGTGCTGGTGCTGCTCTCCCGGTCCCAGAGTTCCTCGCTGCGCCGTCTGGGTCGCGTACCCGGAACCGATCTCTATCTCGACTGTGACAAATATGGGACGGTGAGTTCATTTGGAGGAAGGATGGTTGGCGGGGCTTTGCTTTCTCTTTCTCTCTTTTGCATTCTTTCTTTGGCCAACTCCCTCTCTGCCTGACTGTCTCTGTCTCTCTCTCCCTTTCCCCCCCTCTCTCTTTCTCTTTCTCTCTCGCTCTGTCTGTGTCTGTCTGTTTCTGTCTCTGTGTCTCACTGTCTCTCTCTCTCTCCCTTCCCCCCCCCTTCTCTCTCTGTCTGTGTCTGTCTGTCTGTCTCTATTTCCCTCTGTCTGTCTGTCTGCCTCTGTCTCCCTCTGTCTGTCTGTCTCTCTCTCTCCCTTTTTCTCCCCCCCTCTCTCTCTCTTTCGCTCATTCTGTGTCTGTCTGTCTGTCTCTGTCTCCCTCTATCTGTCTGTCTCTCTCCCTTTTTCTCCCCCCCCCTCTCTCTTTTTCGCTCTGTGCCTGTCTGTCTGTCTGTCTGTCTCTGTCTCTGTCTCTGTCTCTGTCTCTCTCTCTGTCTCTCTCTCTCTCTCTCTCTCTCTATCCCTTACTGCCCCTATCATCTCCCCCTCATTTTCTACTACCACAGCACAGTTTCATCCCCAATCGGATTGTGAAAGATCCTACTCATTATAATCACATTAAATCATGTTCAAACCCTTGATTTCCAGAGCGGATATCACCTTCAGAGAATATTATCTTTAGTATTTTAAAGTATGTCTTTTTTTTTGCTGTTATCAGGAATATTAATGATAGCAGTGATAACAATTGTCAAATGTTAGTGGAATTGATAATCATAATGGTAATGATGACATCTACGGTAATATAAAACATTAGAAATAATAATTATAAGCTATAATAGTAATAGCAATTATACTGTTGATAGTAACAAATAAGATTATGTGAATATTGGTAACAGCAGTGTACGAGTATGTATTGGTTTGTAATACTTATGGTATGGTTTCTGATAAAAAATGATAACAAATATGACAATTGCAACATTGATGGCAATGATTCTATTCTTACAACTTCTACAACCAATGATCCTAGGGAGTACATTTAATCATGTAAATATAATGAAAACAATAACAAAAGTAACAATACAAATAATGCCGATAATCATAAGAAAGGAGATGGCTATAACACCGATATTAATCATGATAACACCATCACTAAGGATCATACCAATACGAACCAACATCACAGTAACTGCAAAACACCAGGAACGAGGAAAACAAACAACCCCAGTAACACGCATTCCACCCACAGGCCCAGGAAGTCGCCGGCATAAGGATCCTCAGGGTCGACGGGCCCCTCCACTTCGCCAACGCCGCCCAGGTCAAGGAGGACCTTCTTGAGGCGGCAGGTCTGGGCGAATCTGGGCCGCCGACACAGCCGGGTATTTACAGTGTCCCGGGGAATAGCTTTAAGGTAATTCTATCTTGGTTGAACTCTTTTCGGGTGGAGTAGTTGGTTGAGGTTGAAGTATGAAGTTGAATTGGATGCTGACGTAGATGGTCTATGCTTCAAGTCACTGGCGGACTTTTTTGTGATCCGAGTTATAGTTCAGATTGGCATTTTCATAATTTCCTGAAAATATAATTCCATATTGCGCATTATGGATATCTTCTTGCTTTATGATTGAAAAAAGTCCGGCCTAACCCTGCTCCCTACTGCAGGCGACAGTAGAAACGATGCTAAGTAACGGGTCCGTATCGGGCGAGAATAACCAAGAGGCCAATTTCGAAGAGTATTCCAAAAAAGGCGAAAAGAGAGAGATTCTTGACAGCGACGACCAGCGAACGACCGCTGGCGAAACGACCATCTTCGTGCCGGTGAGGAAGCTCGCTGTTAGAGAGTGTTACGGGCTTGTTTTAAAGCGGTTGTGGTAAACTATCTTCTGTTAGTTATTCACTACCTTGTTCTGAAGTGGTTTGTCATAGTTTTATTATGCTAAGTAGAATCACTTTTTATAATTAGTATTTGTTTTTTATTGGCTTGTTATGCCTTGGTCTCAGGTGGCTTGTTATGTTTTTCTTCTGGCTTGCTAAAAAGTGGCTTTTCATAAATAGTTTTAACTGGCTTGCTTTAAAGTGTCTTACCAATACATGCACACACACACACACACACACACACACACACACACACACACACACACACACACACACACACACACACACACACACACACACACACGTGTATATGCACAAACATACATATATTACTGTTTAGCTATAAAGTGGCTTGCTATGAAATATTTTAATTATCGTGTTGGGAAGTGCCTTGTTTTGATTTTTTCACTTATATACTGTAAAATGGTGTATGTGTGTGTGTGTGCTTGTTTTTAATAGTTTGGTATGAATTGCTGTTACTCTATACCCATTCCCCCCCTCTCTCTCTACCGACATATCTATCTAAATCCCCCTCCCTCCTCTCGCCTTCTCTCGCACCGTCCCTTCCTCCCTACCTCACCCATTGCCGACAGGATACTGATATCAAAACTCCCTCAGGACACACTGTGGCTGATCCTGGACATGAGTTGCGTCAGCTTCGTGGACTCGAGTGGTGGGAAACTGCTGGCGGAACTCTACAAAGAACTCGAAGCTTCCAGTGTCAGCTTGTGCCTCGCTGCTCCTTCTGGTAAGTGATTTTATTGCTGCAATTGTTAAGTTTTATAATGATAATACTAATGATGATGATGCTGATGGCAGCGACGAAGACGACGACGATGAGTATGATAATGATATTAAAAATGACAAAAAGTACCATCATTATTATTGTTATGATTATCATCATTAACATTACAAATACCATCCTTGTATGCTTCCATGTTAATTATATCAGGTAAAAAATATAGCGGTGTAGTTCAATGTATTCACAAATAATGAAATTTGTGCAAAAAGGATATGAAATCGAAATGAAGAGAGAGAGAGAGAAAGAGAGAGAGAGAGAGAGAGAGAGAGAGAGAGAGAGAGAGAGAGAGAGAGAGAGAGAGAGAGACAGAGAGAGAGACAGACACAGAGACAGAGACAGAGACAGAGACAGAGACAGAGACAGAGACAGAGAGAGAGAGACAGTGAGAAAGTGAATGGGGGAGAGAGAGAATGAGATAGATATTGAAAGAGGAAAGAAAAAGAAAGGAGAAAGAGAATAAAAGAGAGAGACAGAAACAGACAGAAATAGATAGACAGATAACTTCACCAACAATCTCCCCGCAGAAAAGGTCCTGGAGCAAATGGAGCGATGCGCCCTGCTGGACATCCTGCCGAAGGAGCGGCAGTTCCACTCGGTCCACGACGCGGTCACGATCCTGTCCCGCCCCTTCGCCACGCCCTCGCCAGCCCAGAACCCGGAGCCGAGGGAAGCCGGCGTGACGCGGTTCTGAAGCGGCGGGACCAGGAACCGCCGCTGTTCCGTCTCTCAGGAAGTTTTGAAGTTCTGTTCGTCAAGGTGAAAGGAAGTTGCATCTTAGTTGAATCTGGAAAGTGTAAAGATTTTGGTGTGTATTTATGTAGGTATGTATGTATAAATGCATAAATGAATATATATATATATAATGTTTATATATTTCTTGTGTTATGTATGTATGTACGTATGTATATATTTATGTATGTATATATGTACGTATGTAGGCCTATGTATATACTGTGTATGTTTACATGTATGTATGCAAAATCTACAGTGGGGCATTTCTTAATCATGTAAAGGATGCTCATTATTACCATTCCATCATAAAAGTTACACATTTTCTATCGATTTCAGTATTCATTCTCACGTGATTCGTTACACTCCCTGCATTATCTATTTTCCATAGCTTCCGATCTTTGCCCGGCACAGCGGCGAAGTCGACACTCACTATCTCACATACTTTTATTTTTTCCTGCTCGCTGCCAAAGAAATTTTTCGAAGCAAAACCTGATTCAAAGGAAAGACTATTGCCGCCGCGTTTCGCCTTAAAATATACTCCTCTTCAGGCGGTTACCCTTTGGAGGGATACTCCGTTACTGTTCTTTTCCCTGGGTCTAACCAGGGGCTTATCTCGATGAAGGGACTGATCAGCATCTGCCCCATCGTGATAAGCCCCTATTTAACACAGGGCACACAGACACTGCACTGCAATCACACATCGCATGCACGCGCTATCCACACCAAACATCGTCTTCCTGTAGTTGCTTGATTTGTAATGATTTGCAGTGTATGACGTAGCGATGACGTGGTAGTGAAGGAGCCGGTCGGGTATGACGTCTGGCCGGTCGGGTATGAGATTGGTAGATGATAGATGCCAGAAATGACAGGATAATTGGTTTTATGATAGCATAAGCAGGTGTATAGAGTAAATTGTTTACTTTTCTTGCATTCAATACATCATATATGAAATACGTAAACAAAATTGCTTTGGACTGTAACCCACACAGTAATTACAAGGAAAATAAAACAACGAAGGCGAAACTTGCATTAGCTTTTGTAGTGAAAATGTATTCTTTGAAGCTTGTTAACACCATGGAACGATTATTGAAAGGATATAACAGCGATTATTATTTTTCTTAGTTCAGAGGTATTTGACATAACCGAAACATACACGAAAACAGATATCATAAATCCTCGTGTATAGGCTATACAAATGCATTTTGGCAAATCTGTGGACAATAACCAAACTAAAAAGATAGTTGCTAAAGGGAATCATTAAACGCACACAAAATTAAGCCAAAAAAAAAAAAAAAAAAAAAAAAACAGTTGTGACATCACAGTTTCTGATCCCTTCACGATTCGGACACTCAGCCAGTCACAGGGTCTCCTGTAATTCAGCGTTGGTTGTCGCGACAGCCCTGATTCAGCTCTTTCACTCGTATTGCTCTCAGCAATTGCCCTTTTGGCTCTTGTTGAATTTTATCGTTCTTTTTATATTGCATTTTATTCTTTAGCATGTCAAATTATGCCCAGGCTAAGGAATGAACATTTTTGGTGAGGAAAGGAGGGGAGATAATATATAAAGTATAAAATAAAGGATGAACTTGATCGTATATTTTTCTTTTACTCTTTAGATGAAATAATTACTGATTAATCAATCTAATCATGACCAGATAAATATACTTGCCTGAATCTAGCCACGTCCACTTGACTATGTCCTGCCAGACTGGCATTCATTCATAGAAATAACACACACGCACACGAACATGGGTGCTGATCCCTTATCAGCTGGTGGCGGCCTACCCCCCCCCCCCTCTCCCTCTCGCAGGAATATTAGCATGCTAACGCTACCACAGGAATTTATGGATTTTATATAAGGAATATTATTCGGGGCAAGATAATAATAAAAAAATATTGAATGATAAAAAGCATCACTACAGATTGTCTACTACGTTCACTCTTGTACTAGAAAAATGCAGATAAATATCATTGCTATCATTTTTGTGTCGTTATTGCAATGGTGATAATAATGCGACGAGAATAATATCGATATTTATGATAATCATAAGCACCATTGTGGTCATTATTATCACCGTCAGCAAAAATGTAGTTATCATTATCATCATTGCTATTATCACCATTATATATCACCCGTCATTCTTAAGTTGTATATGGACTGTAAATATAATTTTAATTGCAATTTCATTTTTGTATTTCATGTTT